TTATAGATCCGCCACTGGACATATCCATTATTTTATTCTTTTCAGGGCCTAGTGGTTGGACTGGAGTTGATCGTGGTGGAAATGAACAACCAATCAATTATAATGCTATCCGTGGAAACATTGGTCTTTACTCTGATAACAACAATCTTTTCTACTTTGAAGCCCCATGTAAGTTTCATTACTATATGTAATCAAGTTCTTAATCAGCTAATCTCCAGTAAAATATAAAATATATATATGGTAAAATTTGCTGTATTACCATTATTGTATTGTGTCACTGAATTTCTGATTAAAATATATTATTTTAGTTATAATAGATGAAATGATCATAAAGGAAAATACTAAATCTGAGTCATTTTCTATTTGATTTGGTAAGAGTAGGGCCTAGGGGATTCGGCCTAGGCCCCCTCGATGTAAAATTTTATATATTTTATCTAAATTCAAATTTAGTTTTATTTTGTAAAGGAATAATTTGTGCCGATGTGGAGATGTGTTTTTATTCTGGCTACTGACTCGGGAATCAATTATTTATTTTTTAAATTATTCATCAAAAAATATTTATAAATATGAAATCAATAATTGGAAATAATTAATTTAATTTATTTTTTTCATAATTTAACAATACTAAATAATAGTCTATTTAGAAGCATGTTTTTATTATCTTTCAATTGGTATCAATCATTATTGTATTATTCCTTCAGAAAAAGAAAAAATTGATATTTAACCATATTTCTTTACACTGAAAAAAATTTCAAATCATTTTTCAAAATCTAGGGGGTCAATGGGTTCCAAGTGGAGATCAAACCTGAGACCACCCCAAATTTCAGGTCTCAAAGGTAGTCTACTATTTCATTGCAAACTGTAGAGAGCAGCTTAGCTCAGTTGGCTAATCTGGTGGTAGCCACTGTGTGTGCGCTGAACCCTGGCGATCTCTAGATCCTTGGTTCAATTCCCATTGCTGCCTTTCCTTGTGTTTCAGCTGGAGGGCTGAAACACAAGTTACAATAGCGCACCGTCTTTCAGATGAAACGTTTAAGCTGTTGGTCCTGTGTGCATTTATGGCCCATGTGCACGTTAAAGAACGCAGTACACTCTTTGGAAAAGAGTAGGGGATTGTGTCCTGTTGTAATGCCCAATCACCACCAGAAGGACCCCACTGGAAACATGTCTTCTTTTAGACTTTTGTGGGCTATCCTTGGTGTTTACACCGAATAAATCCAATCCTGTATTCTAAATGTCACCAGCCTTGCTATTCTAGCAAATTTGACTCATTAAATGTATGTATTACAAATTTATGTTCTTTCAATTAAAGCTGAATATCTAGGAGACCAGAGATATTCCTATGGCCAGTACTTGAGGTTTGATCTCAGAGTTGACCAAGATAATGCACAACTATCTGCTGAGGACTTAGTGATTGAAGGAGCTGGCTTTAAAGTCACAGCACCAATCACAGCCCAAGGCAACCAAGCACCCTCGCAACGTAGCACAACATTCGTATTTAGGTCAGTACATCCAAAAGAAAGTTTTTAGGCAGATAATCAATAAGCAATTAACATAATTTGATACCATACAATGAATGGGTAACACTGAACAAAAAATCCAATAATGCATACAAAAAATTGCCTGATTATGTATGGGCCTTTAATCACATATCAATATAACCAGGAAAACTCCTGATGTGATCATGAAGCTATAATATATCCTATTGGCCTATGTGTGCAAGTAAAACTTTGTGATGATTCCATTAAACACTAGTCACATCCAAGCCTACCTCTGCCTACTACTAGGTTTATGGTTTGCCAACACTCATTCTATTTCTAGGCATATAGAGTACTACAGTGTTACATCATAATACCATGTGATACTACTCTGTTGCTATCGTTGCAAAATGCATTCAACTGATGCCATTTAGCCACTAACAAACCATTGATCCCAATTTCTAACGTAATTATTATGATGCTGTATCTTACTTTTTCTTTGTAAATTTTAATTAATAATTGAATGTGTGTTCGATAACTAATATAATGCGAGCTTTGTGTTTTTTAGTACATTTTAATGGTAAAATATTAGATTTCTGGAATGCCTATTCCAGAAGGCCTATGCAGTCATTTAGCATAATGAACGGTAACCTACGTCTGTTGACAACAGAAAGCGCCACCTGGCGTTGTGATGGCATGACTGTGGTACTCTACATATAAGTAAATAAAACTATTAATAAGTAAACCTCAAATAGTCCCATTCCAATATATATTATTTCTTATATCTTTTTGCTATCCATAAAATCTAAAATATAATCTAAAATCCCTTCTTCAGCTATGGAGTGAAGCAAATTTCTGAGTGTTTTTCAGATTGTTTCTTGCTCTATCAACGAAAAGGCCATCACATTAAAGTGTAGGCTGTGCTAGGCATACATATAGTTAGTGTAAACAAGAAATGGCATTTGTATTGTGTACATAGCCATGAAGTACAAAGGTAATGCATGTTTCAAGATAAGAAAATGAACGTTAGAGGCAAAATAATATCATGATTGACTTGTGGCAGTTATAAATTTCCATCATGTGTGGGATTCATCATGTGAATTAACATTTTGTGTAGTTGTTCTTAGTTATTTACACTAACATTGCATCAATTTATTATAACTTTGTCTTGTAGGTTGCATGAGAGTCCGTCATATGATTGGACTTCCAGATTGGATACCTTCAGTTTTCAGCGTATGCTCTCCAACTTAACAAGCATCAGGATACGAGCAACCTACGGTGGTCAGGGTATCTGGCTTATACAACTTTTTAAATTACTGTTATTAATTATTTTTATACTCAATTTTAAATAAATCAAACTTTACAATAATAAAATCCTCCAAGGAATTCAAATTCACTGTTTTTGAAGAATCTTCAAAGCATTAACTAATCAAAATTCATTCATAAAATCGGCTATTCGTAAAATCGACGTTCGTAAAACCAACGTTTTACTGTATATATTTAAAGTGGTTGAAAATTAACATCTTGATTTTTCTTTAGCGAACTCTGGCACGCTGGACAATGTGCAATTGGACACGGTTCGTCGATCTGTCTTAAGCCCAGTAGATTCAGCACAACAGGTTGAGCTTTGTAACTGTCCACAGGGCTATGTTGGCCAGTCCTGTGAATCGTGTACTGTTGGCTATTACCGGGATCCGCCTTATGGTGGCCCATTTGCCATGTGTGTACCTTGTGAATGCAACAACCATGCAATAGTGTGCAATTCAGATTCAGGTATGTAAATGATGCTATTTGAATGCAATTAGAAAGTATAATGCATACTCCTAGTATTTACATGCACGCCATCGTGTTGGGATTCAATATTTTGATATTAATTATGTCATCATGATCATCATATATTGAATCCCAACACGTTGGCGTGCATTTCAATACTTGAAATATGTATTATACTTTCTGAGATTAATCAGTGAACATTACGGATTTTTAATGCAGTTATTGATAGATTTATATGATGTCTTTTGAGATCCAAAATTCTATTTATTTGTGAAGCAGAGTTGCAAGTCATCACAATTTTATATCCATCTTTTTACAATATATGTACCATGTATTGTTTAGTACTGCAGGAATAATGAAATGTAACAGAATTAATAACATAATGTTTATTCTGGTAACATTTCATGCGTCTAGGTGTCTGTCGTTGTGAAGACAATACTGAAGGAGACAGTTGCTCACGATGTACCTCTGGTTACTATGGTGATGCTACAAGGGGCACTCGTGATGATTGTCAGCCTTGTCCTTGCCCTGGCCAATCAGAATGTGTGCAAGATGCTCAGGGAGAGGTCATCTGTGTCCGTTGTCCTGAAGGGTATGTTGGTAAGTACAACACATTAGGAATTATGTCATTATCATTATCGTCATTCGTGCCTAAAACATCCTTGACAATATGCTTTATAAGCTGAATATGATGCTTGAATCATGTAAAAGGCGTAGAATCAAAGAGAGTTTGTAATTGAGAATCCTTGTAATCAGTGTGCCGCATTATTCAAAATATTATCATACACTGTATTATTGCCTTTTCAGGTAACAGGTGTGATTATTGTGCAGATGGCTACCATGGAGATCCAGCTGGTCGCTATGGACCTCCATCAGCTTGCAGTAGGTGTACTTGTAATGGTAACATTGATCCCAATGCTGTTGGCAATTGCAACAGGTATTATTTATCTGCATTCTAACTAGCTCGGTTTTTTTTTTTTAACACTTGTATTATTTTGAAATTTGAACATCATCTGGGCTATAAATCTATGCTGTCTGTTAAGCCGGACACTCGCTGCGCCCGACTGTCATCGGCCAACTCGAATCCATGTAGAACGCGATGCCGCAATGCGCGCACAACTGATCGTTTTTAATGGTGATCTGTTTAGACTGCCACTGACAATCAGCAGACAGCGCTGCGTCGTTTATCGCTCTCACAGGGTCGTACAACGCAGTGAGCAGCTTTAGGTTCTGCTCTCAGTCTATGGTAAAGATTCACAGACTGCTAGACAGCCAGAGACAGCTTGTAAAAATTTGTTTCTGAACCCCATTTAAACATGCCAGAAGTGCACACAGCATCCCTGTATCACAAAGGCATACTAAAACATGCATAATTATGTCAATTGTGTGAGATGGCGGCCGTTAGGGCCACTAGAATCACTCGGCTGATTAATAGATCTTTTTAGTATGGGCGGCCATTAGGGCCACTAGAACTCATTGGAGCTTTCAAGATTACAAGAACTTGTTTTATTTTATGTCTCTGTTTCATTGAATTTAAATTTGTATTTTTCATAGCTAAATAATTTAATGAAAGTATCTACTGCCCTCTATATTAACAGTACAACTGGTCAATGTCTGAAATGTATCTACAACACAGCTGGATTCTACTGTGAATATTGTGCAGATAGCTACTATGGAGATGCTAGGGCTAATCCTAAAGGACAATGTCAAGGTAAGTCCATGTCATCCTGTATGTATGGCTCTAAAATATTTGCTCCATATAATTCCTTCAGTGTGGCACCCCGGGCTTGTGCCCTGTTCTACACCCCTGTAGTTATGCCCCTAGAACGGATAGATTTATAGAAATACTGAAATTTAAAATGGTGGATCATTGACTGGAATCAACTTACTATTGCCAAAGTTATGAGTAAAAGCATTACTGCTTCTCTGTACTAAAGTAAACAATACTGGCACATTCTATTGCTAATTACTCAGTTTAACATTTAGCGACAGTACACTGGTTATAAAATGGCAAGCCTCATATATGTTTACAACGTAGCTAGCGTCCAATAAAATCTTGATAATTGAAACAGAAGATTCAGGCATGTTACCACCTTTTATAATTAATATAATTTTAATTTCAACAAAATAACAAACATTCTTGATTAAATTTTGCACAACATAACTCAAAAATAATGCTGTCATTATACATTGAGCTATGACCTAGTTTTCCTAACATTCTGATTGGCACTTGTAAATTTTTTTTTCTGTCACCAGCTTGCAACTGTAATGTATATGGCTCTGATTTCCTGACGTGTGATCGAAACGGTAGATGTTACTGCCAAGATAATGTGTACGGTGATAAGTGTGACAAGTGCTACGATGGCTATTGGAACATTGAAAGCGGTAATGGATGCGAGGCTTGCGGGTGCTCGCAGACCGGTTCAGTAACGTTTACATGTGATTTGTTATCAGGCCAGTGTGACTGTCGTCCAGGTGTCACAGGTCGACAGTGTGAACGATGTTTCTATGATCATTACAGTTTCTCTACAGCAGGATGTGAAGGTAGGTTGATGTTTTTTTTACCATTTTACATATAGTAAATTGTCAAATTTTAATACTATTAGCCTGGTTATAGAAAGTGTTTTAAAATGTTTTGATATTCATTATTCATAATTTTATTTCACTCAAAACTTAAACGTAAAAATTTTGGTAGGCAAAAAGGGTCCCTGTACAAGATGCCTAGCAGCAACAATAACAATAAAAAAAAAAGAAATAATAATAATCATAATGATGATAATAATAATATTGAAGATAATAATGATATAAATAATTAAAGCAATAATAATAGCTATGATAAAAGACCATAATAGTAATTATTATAAAATAGTGAAAGATACACAACCACAAATTGTTATGAAATAAATAAAAAAATAAAAAATAAATAAAACAACAATAATGATAATAATATTGAGAAAAATGAAAAAAATTTAATGATTCAAAAATAAAGATATTACATATGGATCCTTGTACATAAAAGTTATGAAATCAAAATTGTTGTCTTATCCAGCTTGCAACTGCGACCCTCTTGGATCATTATTCCAGAACTGTACGGAGCAAGGGGTCTGTCGATGTATTGAAGGTGTGATTGGAGATAAGTGCAATGCTTGTGAAATAAACAAGTACGATATCTCACAAGGCTGCATCGGTGAGTCTTCAAGCCAATGTCAATGGTGTATTTTATTTTTTGTGATTTTGAGAGAAATTGTGACTGGTCGATAAGTAACTACTATCCTAGAGTTCTAAGATGTTTGCTACAGGTACTTCAAGCTATAACTTAGCATCATTGATATATTATACAACCCATCATGATTTTTAATAATCTGTGCAGTAGAAAACATTTGCCTATGTATGCTTTAAAAAAGAAAAATTAAAAATTATTTTATTTAACTTTACACTGGAGAAAGCAAAATGTAAAAAAAAAAGAATTTCAGTGAGAGAACTTGTTGACAGGTGCAAGCACGACTCAACCTCATAATGTACGTAACCCATAGGCGAAAAAAGATAAAAATAATTATATTAAAATGAATATAAAATAAATATTTAACTACAACAAACAAATTACATAATTCTACATAAGGAGTAATGATAACTTGTGACCTAGGTACATGTGTTGTATGTAAAGGAGAAAATGTTGAATAGTGTGAAAATGTGTTCTAAATGTTGTACTCTACTTTATAATCTATAATAACTTTTTTATGCTTATTTATTAATAAGGTTATAGCACTATTCAGTAGCTTTAAAATGACACTAAAACCAACTCAGTAGTTGCTATACTTACTGAGATACGATCAGTTAAATGCGCAAGGTATCGTAAATTGGCTCAAAGATTGTTAGCACATATCTCATTAATTAAGAGGCCTAGAGCAAACATTTTTTCATTTGTGATCGTTTTTCATGGGTCCCAACCACATCAAATCCGACTGAGACTGAGGTAAACTCGTGGTTGATTTGATTGTGGAATTACGCTATAGTTAATGCTCAGGATACATTGATGTATGTTTGAACACTATGTTATCTATTTGATTTATACATTATTTATTTTCTCATTGCTAAGCAGCAACTTAATATGCATAAGCCTTCTGACTATTATTTCATTAATCATTATTATAATAATAATAAAAATATCTTGAATTTATATGGCGCCAATTCCAAACAAGATCAAAGGCGCAATGCATGTGAAAAGCCACCGGAAAACAAAAAGGTTTTAAGCTGTGACTTAAAGTTTTGACTTGGTTTTGTGTTTTGCCCTTCTTTCTGTTTTTGTGTTTTGTAACTGTACTCAACGACTAAAAGTGCATGCAGTCTAAAAAAAAAATAAGTAAATATTTTATTATAACTACTTTTTCTATGGTATCAATAAATACAAACTTGGGGTTGATATAAATTAGGTTGGCTTTACATGGATATTATGGTATAATTTATAATTCATGCTTGGAACTTACAGAGGTCTTATTTATGAATTTTAGAGTAATCATGAAGATAGAAGAGATTCAGAATCATTAATAAATAAATGTGCTCTTCTTTTTTAGATTGTCCTGAATGTTACAACTTGGTCGCTGATAAGGTCGATGAGCACAAGATTGCCATGGAAACACTGCGAAAACTAATCCGTACCGTTGACCCTGCACAAGTTAACGATAAAGAGTTTGAGAGGAGATTGAGAGAGCTGGATGAAGAAGTTGTTAAGGTTTTAGAACAAGCCAGACAGCTAGGTTCACCAGGTACACAGTTGGCCTTTAAAATCTAAAACTATTGAGATTCAAAATATAGTTGACGGAAGGTGATATAACGGTAGAGCTTTAACACATGGCAGGTCCTTATCCAGTGGGGTTTTTGGGGGTTTGGCCGAACCCCCCTTTTTGACCAGTACAATACCGTAGTAGTATTTTATCATAACTTTATTAAAGAAACACTTTTGAGTTAAACTTGCCCTATAGGAAACCCCTCTTTCCATCAACCTGGTTACAGGCCCGAAGTTAGTATTTTCTTTGGTTACAGACATTTGGGTGAGCTATTTAGAGTTCCTTTTGTAATGAATTTTTTATTAAATGATCAAAATAAAATTAAAAAATTGTAGCAATACAATTGAATTATTATTCATCTCAATGATCTGAAATTTTCCTGGTTAAAGATATATTAAAAAACAAGTGAAAGAGTTTTAAAGGAGATTATTTAATTGGCAAACATTTTTACTTATCTACTAATATTTAATGAGTACACTTTATTCACACTTGACCTGTAATCAAAATTTACCACAGAAAAATTAAGAACAAATTTATAATTGGATTTAACTATCATGCCCACCTAATAAATATTATGATCATTTTGTAGACATGGCTAGACTAACCTTTAGCTTCCTACCTGGTTACAAGGCTCTAAAGGCAATATTATATAGGTATATGAAGGTAATGGAATGTAGTTTGGTTTTAAATGTTTATTTGCCGACCTGACGGCTAAGCCTCAGGATGTAATTTAAAATTATATTAATAATTTTCTATTCATAAAAAATCTTAGCCAACATCTCTGGAGTGGAAGAAGCAATAGCAAAGCTTCGTCAACAACTTGAGAAAATTGAAGGAAATACGAACCAAGCTGCTGCTGATACTGCCAATGGACAAGACGGTAAGGACGGACTTCAAAATTTCAACAATTACAATAAACAAAATAATATTTAAAATAATTTTGCAAATGCCAAATACTTCTGTTTAGCATATTCATTTACACTTGCTATGCAAATCAGCTTATGTTTGTTCAATTTCTTAATTGCAGCAATTGCCGACACTAAAGTGATTCTGAACCGAGCAGAGGCCACTTTGAATGCTGCTAAGAAGTACTTAGAAACTGAAGGCAATAAGTTATTACAGAAGCTTCGAGAAGCAAATGAAAACAGTACAGCGCATCAGCGTGAAATGAGGGAGTTGTCTGTACGAGCGAGTGAAGCTGCTGATAGGTAAATATTTTATAACAAATTTATTAAATGTAATTTAATACCATTGATGGCCACTATCTGACTTAACATATTTTTATAGGTAGACAACACATACAATATCAAAAATCTCCTGTGGGGACTGTAGTACCTATGTAAGCAGTGTGTATACAAAACTCTTTGAGGAGGAAAAAAATGCGATGATCAGAGCTCCGGGCTCAAGGCTAGCCCTACTATACGATGTCTAGTAATACTAATGCTGCTACTGCCATTGAGGAAAGTACCATAACACTGCCTGAGACACAGTACTATTTACCTTTAGAAGACTATTTTCATTAGTTATTCCCAATTATGCATGTTGTCATGTCAACTACAAATCAGGCACTTGAATTGACCTCTTAATTTAAATGTAATGTCAGCAGTTATATACAGTAGATTATATCGAAGATCCTATAATTACAAGATAGTACGCTCTGCAATTTACACGCAACAAATAGAAGCATCGATGTTCAGTAATAAGAAGCATAAAAAAAAGCATATAAAATTTCTGGGAGGGGGTGTCCTAGTTGTTACCATGTTGCTACAGTATTTGCACGCACATGTGCTATTTTTAGTTAGCGATATTTTTTTCCCGTTAGCGATATTTTTTTCCCCTACACTAAGTTGTTACAGAATTTGCACGCAGAATTTCCGAAGAATGCTATCTTGTAATTATAAGATCTTTGATTATACTCAACAATGTTCTGTTCGTTTTTTAAAATCTTAGTGCACAAACATTTCATGCATGAAATTTAAATCCATTAGAACCAATAATTAATGGTAACACAAATGTGGATTGGTTGTTAATAATTTGAATTTAAACACTGAGATGATTCTGCGTATTAATAGTAGTTTTGAGTATACTGTGCTTGCGCAGATATAATGTATGCTTAGGAAGAGAAATTTGTATGTAAATTAGAATGTGTTAAGGCTCAGTTCATTTCATTTGACAGGCACGTTAAGTAGATGATTAATGACTGGTAGCACCCTGTCTAATAAGAGTAATTTTAACCTAGATTCTGCAGTATACTCGCGCTCCTATCAGCAGCCTATTTTTTATATTCTTTTTAAAAATGATTTGCATTACTTGTAATAAGTTTATATTATTTGTTTTTTTTAGCCTTGAGGCCAGTGCTAATACCATAGAGGGCATTGCTAATGATGCGCTGGACACTTCGAATGAGGCCCTAGCAGTGGTGGAAGGAATTGAGGACCTTAGCTACATTGAGCCTAAAGTCTGTCTTCATCACGCTTCACATCACACCACACTTCGCACAGCCAGAGTAGGCCTAGGCCTATTACCAGTGAGTGGTAATAGGTTAGTTTGAGACTGATGCCTGTCGCACTTGTGCCCTTGGCCAAGGGGCTTTACTTACTTATGTGAAGCAATATCCAATGAGTATGCAAATTGGGTTTTTTTTTTTGTAGGCTGAGCGTATTGAAGCTGAAGCCAATGAATTAGTTGATAACAACCAAATGTTGCTGGCTGATGTGGAAGAGAAGTCACAAGAGGGAAGGAAACTACTTGATGATAAGAGGAAACTTCAACAGGTATTTTCTCTTTTTATTATTATTATAATTATTATTATCATTATTATTATTATTTTGTATTAATATTAAAATGGTGTGAAAAACTTGCGAGTTTTTAGTATAAATGTTGTTATATTGTTGTGTTACTATTAACGAAAGGGTCCACTAATAAATATCAGAATATAAAAGAATTCTTCCTGATAATGACTTAATTAAGTGTAAAAAGTATTAAATTCTAGCATGATGGCATGTATTCTTTTTTGCTTGGAGCATGCTTTTTAGTTCCTATGCATGTAATGCAATAGGAACAATTGTATTCACTTTTTTGCCTGTGTGTGTATGTGTGTGTGTGTAGACATCTTCTGGAAAAGTTTTCCCAGACATTTTATTTTACTGACAGTGACATGCCTAATGGTACCCTTGGGATTAGTTTCTAAATAACCATCCATCACTTTATTCCCATTGCACTCAATCTTGTCAGACTGGCCCACATTGCCCTTGTGGAAAATATCAAGGTGTCATTAACTTACTAGTACAAGCAGCACTAACATAACAAAATATTGTGTTTATTGATACTGCATTTAGTCAATAATAATTTTCAAATAAAACCAAATATTGTTATATTACTGTAATTATATTTTTGTCACATATTTCTTTTTTTTTACACAGACATTTGACCCTGTTTACTTCATAAGTTTTGTTGATCACTACTAAAGAGTGTGAGTGATAGGAGAGAATTTGTATTAAAACTGTACAAAGGGTGGGGGGGGGGTGGTTAGATACGTCCTTGCGAAAGTTAAAAACAGTCCATAGTGATAAAAGAGTGACAGTTGATGTATAAATTAGGCCTACAGGCCTACACTTTTGCTACCGCAGCATTACACAGCAAACGGCCTAAATACTGTGTTTTCAAATTGAAATATTTCGTGTATTAAATTCTGTCATATAACTTCACTATTATTCTGCGTAGGAACGTTGACGCCTGCTAAGGTGGTCTAATATATTGTTGTCTAGTAGGCCATGCCAGTTCCCCCAACCCCATATCGTTCCAAACTACAAAATGAAAATACTGTATACCTATTTGCCTATCAAATAACATAACCAATATGGTCGAAATTCACTATTTTGGACCATAAAAACTCACTCCCCCTGAATTGTTCAAATTAAACCAATTTGATCCAACCTTATATATTCTGATAAAGTCATGTATCATGCATATTAACGTTGATGCCTGCAAGGCTCTGGTTATTTTTACTGTTATTGTTAAAACTGTTTTTCTGGTCATAGTTGTGGTCACTCTGATTCGTCACACTGAAACTTTTATGCGTGAAATGTTTTGAAGCTTTAATTGGAAGAGGGGCTGTTTTTAAATTACCAAAGCCTTAAAAATGTTTTTGATTGGCTGAGGCCAATAATATTGTGTTGTACGGAATAAGTTTTGATCAATGAAATGTACGTTTTTTTTGCAGGAGACTGACAGACTGCTTGCAATTGTAGACAGCCACAAAGCCGAGGCTGAACAGGCTAAGGAGGCTGCTGATCAGGCTTTGGAAGATGCTGTCAAGACAAGGGACACCTTAAGAAGTTAGCATTGATTACTTGTGTGATAGTAGGGGAGCTTTAGATTTGTGCAACGACACGACCCTAGAATGGATTCACTCATGCGTAATCGTCCTACGTCCTTTGCACAGCATAGATTTGGCTAAATTGCATCCTAGAATCCATGCGACTGTGAGAACTCAACGTTGTTGCATCCGCAGATGACTTTTAGTGATGTCATTACGTTCTACGTCCTACCTTCATCATGCAATCAAAAGCTTCCTAATGACCAATATAAAGCATCACTGCTATTTTTGAAGTTTTCAAAATTATCCCTTTAAGATAAGTTATACTAAATACCTGATTTTATTTTGATTTAGTGTTTGATGAGCAAGTAGAAGCTAGTAAGAAACTAGCAGAGGAAGCTCTGCGTGATCTGCCTGCAATTGAGCTTACCATTGAGGATGCGAATGATACTGCAACAGATGCTAAAGCCGCTGTTGATGCTGCTAAGGAGGATGCTGAAAATGCCAGACAAATAGCTGATGAAGCTCTCGACATTGCCAAGATGGCTTCAGATGTAAGCAGGAATGCTGACTTAATTTTTTTTTTTTTGTATTAATTAATGTTAAGAGAGAACGGTTTGGTTTCGCGAACTTGAGGTTGAGGTTTCAATCCCCTGCTGTGCATTTCACTTGTGTCCTTGGGCAAGGCATTTTATCTGCATTGCTTCTCTTCACCCAGGAGTATAAATGGGTACCTGGTAGGGTTAAATGCCAAAGGCGCTGATGTAGCTGCTGCAACGTTATGGAATAGTTCCCCAGGGAGCTTGAGTTTGTATTCCATAGGCGTTTAATCCAATGACCAGGGTAATGATAATGTGAAGTGCATAGACGGCTTAACAATATGCACTATGTATTTCTACCATTATTATTATTATTATTATTATTATTATTATTCTAAAAATAAAAAAATGAGGGGTTGGATATACTAATGAATAATACATTGATGAATAAACACTTTTTATTTTGAAGGGGGCCAAAGAAATTAAAGACGAAGCCAACCAAACGTTTGTTCAGGCGGTTGAGCTTTCAAATACAGCAGATCAACTGGAGGAGGATGTACAAGAGGTGAAAGAGCAACTTGCGAATCTACAGGCTCAGGCCGAGTCAGATGCACAACTTGCTGTTGACGTAAGCAGAAACTAAATTTAATGAAAATTAAATAGTTATTTTTAATGTATTGGATTGTGTATTTTGTGCTATTTTTTTCTGATTGCATCAGTAGCAATAATTAATGTAACATTTTTATTTAGACCTTTTTCTTTTAATCTTCTTTCACATATATTATAGATAATGTTTTAGATATATGTTTTTGTAAAATATGTGTATAAATGATTTCAAAATTTTAGATTACATTTTATAAATACTTTATAAAATATACTTTTATAAAATATATATAATGTGTGTGTGTGTGTGTAAAATCATCAATTTTTACATTTAGCTCTACCCTGGTATTGAGCACTGTACTCCAGATGATCTTAAACCTTATACTTATATATATAAATTTCATTTCTCTTGTATCTTTCAATTTGAAGGCACTGAATAAAGCTAACAGTGCAGAGAAAACTACAACAATGGCTCAAGACAGCCTCGAAGAGGCACAGGAAGCTTTGCAGACACTACTGGACAACATTGGTAAGTGCATCTCAATCTCCTCCTGCTGGTTCCTGGATAGCAACAGGCACTATGAAAAATGCATTGAAAAAATGGAAAAAAAGTTAATGGAAAACAATTGTAGTTAATCAAAAAGATTGTAATAATTTTGAGTGAATGGGAAGAAAAAAATAATTCTTGGTACGGTATGAAAGCAAATGCTGAGGGAGAGTAAAAGGTGCACAAATAAAATGGCGAAATAAAGAAATAATCAACATCGTATCTCAACATTTCACAAACAACAATGCTAGTTTTTCCTAATGTCTTTTACTACACTAATCCTCAAGTCATGATAATCATTTTTGAAGGCATTATTAATGTATTTATAGTTGTTAAGGCCAATTTCCTTCAAAATCAATACAATGTCGCTACAGTTTGTGAGTGCAATCGTCGTACTGTGTAGCAATCCCCTATGCAATCGGTAACGCTCCATAATTCCACTGACCAATCAGCATCGCCAAAGAAAATAGAAATGAAATGAAAAAATGAAATTAAAAAGAAAGGATAGGAAGTGAAAAGAAGAAAAGGAAAAAAATGAAAATATAAGGAAAAGATTAAGAACAAAATTTAAAACATATGGGGTTGAAGAAAAAAAAAAGAAAGGGAAGTGGAAAATGAGAAAACAGTATACTGTGAAAGGTTCTTTAATGTATAGACAAAAAGTTTTAGTCGATACATTAAAGAACCTTTTCACAGTATACTAATTCAACTAAAGACTAGATGAAATTCTTCCAAGTATTGAGAAAAGAATTAGTCCTCGCTGTCAACATATGAAATTTAGGCAAGTTCATGTTTGTGACAGAACACAAATAGACTAAAAACCAACCGGCCTGCGCAAAGTTGGGTTAACTATATGTTCCTTTTTACTATCAGCCACATACATTTTCTTCATAATTTCAAATATCTAAAAGCTATATGTTCTATTTTAAAAACATATAGTACATGTAACTAAATTGTTTTGTAATTGTTGTGTTTGTTAGTATTTCTATTGTTTTTATTGTATTGTTTCTATTGTATTATTGTTGCTATTATAGATGCTGTTATTATTGTGTTTTGTTTTCATTGTTGTTATTGTTGTTGCATTGTTTTTATTGTTGTTTTTCCTTCACTTTAGAACTGTCTTATCTCTGATATGTTGTTTTCGTTGTTATTGTTCTTGCTGTTGTTTTTATTGTTATTTGTTGTATTTCCTTCACTTCCGTCATATCTCTATGTTGTTTGTCTGTCTGATGAATTAATAATAAAATTAGTGGAGTGATACGTATTCGTCTAAGGAAGAGGATATAAAATTCTCAACAGAAAATATCAAAAGGTCATGGTCACAGAAAAGTTTAAAAAATGATTAGGAATAGCCATATATTCTGATGACTAGATGTTCTTGTTAAATTGATTAATGTAGAGTTTGTTGTTATTTGTTAATATTGCTGGAGTTGTTATTTTTCTTATTTTTATTGTTGCTACTACAGTATTGTCATTATCGTTTTTATTGTTGTTGCTGTTATTTCTTGTTATATTTATTGTTAATTAATTTACAATTGAATTTTCTTTTGTTTGTCTGTCTGATGAATTAATCATAAAATTAGTGGAGTGATACATATTGATCTAAGGAAAAGGATATTAAATGTTGGGGTAAAAATGTCAAAAAGTCAAGGTCACAGAAATTTGAAGTCTCAATAATGATTAGGAAAAGCATATTCTGATGACTAGGTGTTATGTTGTTAAATTTATTGTTGTAGTGTTGTTAATATCTGTTATTTTTATTGTTGCTATTAAGGTCCATATTGTTTCTGTTGTTATTGTTGTGTCTATTTTGTGAATACTCTGGATAACCCGACTAATTGCCATTGTTCCCAAAATTGAACACCCCTTCGAAATAAAACGGAACAGTTGTTATTGTTTTTATTGTTATTACCGTCACCAATGTATTCAGTGCTGTTTGTTTATCTGATCATAATATTTACTGGAGCTTAATACATATTGGTACATTAAAGTGAAAAGTATCAAAAGGCAAGGTCACAGAAATTTGGAAAATCACAATTAAGGATTATGCTAAAACTAGTGAATGGATCATCATACAACTTAGTCGAGCAGTACAGAGTCATATAAAGAAGAGGTGATTAAATTTTGGAGTCAAGGTCATGGAAAGTTTTTTTATTTTGTTTGTTCTATATTACTCGGTATTCAGAAATATGATAGAGGTATGCGCTGTCTTGGGTGCTTGCTCTCGTTATTATTGTTATATTATTATTTTTGCTATTATAATTAGATTAATTATAAATAAAATAATAATTTTTTATTATTAAATATTTTTTGTTATCTTTATTATCATTAATATTATTCATTATCATTGTACATTATTAATGATATTCCGTATTCATTATTATTATTCTTTTTTTCATTATATTATTTATTATGATCTTGTAATAGGGATTGGTGGAGTAATTGCAATACTTGGCTGCTATGCTAGCCAAATTATCATGATCGCTAATCAGTCAATTTCTTTGGTTTTCATCGATTGTAGGTCAGCTTGAGGACTTGGATTTTGAGCGCTTAAAATCGTTAGAGAATGACTTAAATGGCCTCAATCGAACACTTGTTCTGGATCTTCAATTAGATGACAAAATCCAAACATTTGAAGCACGCAATGCAGAGCAACAAGGCTGGCTGACGGGTTACTCGCAAGATATTTCACAACTAGAAGCTGACGTATTGAACATTGAAGCAATTCGCGATGCTCTGCCCAAGAAGTGCTTTGCTGTTTCATCCATCGAGGTTCGACCAGGCGGTGCCACTGGCCGTTAATAGTCCATTTTGTAACAGTTTTATGTTCTGTATTTACACTGTAATGGATGCATTGTGGTATATGGCTTTTAATACCAATTACATTTTAAAAAGTGTAATTCCGTTTTTAATTCCAGTATTTGATTGTAGTGCAGCTCATGAATCATTTTGATAAGTCTTTTATATTATTTAGCATTATGTCATGTTTAGGGGGAAATGGGCCTTTATATATTTTAAAACACATCAGAATCATTATTTTATTAATAAAAAATGAATGTGCAACTATATTCATTGCAATGACTATATTCATTGGTGTAAATAATAATTTTTGAATGCTTCAATGACATTCTTCCAATATTCAATCCATGGTAAGAATAATTACAAAAAGCTAGTTGTGTCCACAGAATCTTCAACAACAAATACCCAAAAAAAATATTGCAAACATAAGCATTTTAGAAAGAATTGCCAGAAAGAAGTCTATATCATTTGGTCATAGTTCATTATAGTAATGTGAAACAAAATTGCAGGAAATTTGTAGTTTTCCTTTATTTAGTGATTTTTTTTAGATATAATTAGCATAAATAAAAACATTTTATATTTACAGAATTGCTACATTTTAATGTATGTTATTTTGTAGACAGATGGCAATGTATAACAACCACACATTTTTATATTAGATAATTAAGTTTTCTTAAAATGTAAAAAATGTAAGTTTATAGTCATAAATTCTGTGGAGTAAGTAATAACTATACAATACATACAGCAGTGGCACCAGAAATTTGCTGACAAGGGGTCCGAGCCAAGGGGCTGAGGTAATCTCGGTCAACGGCCTGGAATAAAAACTCCCTTGAAGGGTTCACAGAGAAAGTTTTTATGGCTTAATTTGGTCCAAAATGTGCTTTTAGACCACAATATTAGGGACTGGCAGTCAAAATAATGTTATTTGGATAGGCAAATTAAATTATTTTTTAAATTTTTGGATCCGACGACCGAGTTGTGTGTCGGATGAAAGAGGGGTCCAGGCTTGTCCACCGCGGGGGAAACACAACCACAACCGTGGGATGAATTATGAAATTTATATAGGAGCATTGCTACAAGGTGCTAAAGTTATTTTTCAAGTTAAACCCCTATAAGATCACAATTTTGTTATTGTGACTTCAGTTAGGGTGTATATTTTAATATTTAATATTGTAGGTTTTAGCATACTGACAACAATGTAGGTTGCTACGTCCCTGTTGGCAGTATGCTACATTCCTTTCCATGGGGCCAGTTGGCAACAGCTGAGTATTCATCAGATTCCTTGTGTAGTATGCTACTCATTTCTCGGATAGTATGCCACATACTCATGTGGTAGTATGCTACATTTATTTGGTGGTACTGTAGTATGATACATTCTTCAGGTAGTATGCTACACTCTTATAATGTAGTATTTTAACATCCAGTTAGTTTTACTGACTTGAATGAAATATTTTGGTGAGCATGGTGCAGCAGCGTAATATCAGTGATGTTGATGATTTGCTACCTATTTAAGTAACCAGCATCTGTATTGTATTTAGATTTTACCTGGTAGTTCATAAAGAGTTTATATTCATTAGCCATTGTATTTTTATAGATGATTCCTTTTCTTTATAATATCAAAGATTCTGTTTCATAAAAATTCATTCACATTTCATATTTTATTTATGGTTTTAATGATTTAGAACAAATTTTACTTGCTTTTAATGTATTTTAAATATTAATCATTGATGTTTTATTTATATTCACCATCAAATTTGTGTGCATTTATTGTGCTCAAAAATATTAATGTGGGCAAGTATGCAAGTACAGTAATTATAGTTATTGGCCCCTTGTATTATGTTCAGAAGCAGTTAACCCTAGCTAAGTGTCATTTCTGATATTAGCTATTTAACAGTAAGCATTTAATTTTTATTTTGATACATAAAGCAAATACTTATTTCCTAAATGAAAAGTTAACTTGCATTCTTAACACAATAATATGTTTTAATCATTGAAATTTTTGATTTATCATTTTTTATCAATGTATGTATCACCAACACAGATGAACTTTCATTATAGTTTCTTATCTTGTTTTTAATATTGTACTATATTTAACAAATAAAGATTTGTATTAAGTTTTAGAATTGAACTGAATTGTAGTTTCTGTGATTTATGTCAGCACCAGGTGTAAATTATTTCTGTTGTAGTTCTTTTTCACATTATGAAAAGAAGGGGAGAAAAGAAACAAACAGAAGAATAAAGGAAAAAGAAATTAATAACTAACAGAAATGATTCAAGTCTCTTTCATTTCAGTAAAAATTCGCTTCCATCCTTTTTCACATAATAGAATCAAAATAATTATCAGTCATACAGTCTTTTTCAAATGATTTTTCTAATAAATTGCTATATAACAGATTGATAATGATTGTACAGTACCGTGTAATAGATTTCAGTTAGTAAATCATCAAATTGTAATTAACTCAATCCACTTTATTTCTTGTTTTATGACTGTAAAAGCCTGTAATTATTAGTTTTTTTTTATTGTATTGTTTTTATTGTTAATCATTACTGTTATTATTATTTATTATGAGACTTAGCTTAAAGATATTACAATTCATGCATATATGTATGACTATGAGTACGACAGTGATGTAATCGCAGTATTTGACCCTAGTGCATATAAATTTCATTAATAATCCTCCAATTTCTTTGTTTTTCATCTATTGCAGGTCAGCTTGAGGACTTGGATTTTGAGCGCTTAACATCATTAGAGAATGACCTAAAAGGCCTCAATCGAACACTTGTTCTGGATCTTCAATTAGGCGTTAAAATCCAAACATTTGAAGCTCGCAATACAGAGCAACAAGGCTGGCTGGCGGGTTATGAGCAAGATATTTCACAATTAGAAGCTGACGTATTGAACATTGAAGCAATTCGCGATGCTCTGCCCGAGAAGTGCTTTACTGTTTCAGGTATCGAGGTTGCTCCACGTGGTGACGTTGGCCGTTAGTAGTTTCTTTGTGGTAAATTTTTAATATTCAGTATTTACAGTTTCCATGGATGCATTGTGATATTTTGGGCTTTTATATCCAGTTGCATTTGAACCGTAATTCGGTTTTTAACTATGTGATTATCTTTTTTAATCAGTTTTGCAGAAGTCTTTTATATTATTTATAATGTTTAGGGGGAGATGGACTGTGTCAGATTGCCATTGATTTTAGTGAATATTCAACTATATTAATTGATGTAAATAGTAGGTGTTGACTGCCTCAATGACATTCTAACAATGTTTAATTCATGGAAACAAGAGAGTAATTCCAAGAAGTTAATGGTGTCCACAAATTTATCAAAAGAATGCAAAATGAATGAAGGCAACTTAAGCATTTTAGAAAGAACTACAAGAAAGAAGTTTATATCAGTCTGTCTTATTTAATTAACATGAAACAAAATTGCCAGAATATTTGTAGAGCTTTCCCCTTTTTAGCAAATTTCTTTTTGTAGATGATATTAGATTTAAGGAAAAGCTTTGTTTACAGAAGTGCTGCATTTTATTAATGTATGTTTTGTAGACAAATAACAGAGTATTACAAGTATTAGATAGTAAGTTTTGTTAAAATGTAAAAAGTGTATTGTTTATAGCCATAAGCAATTTAACTATGCATACACAAACCATGGGATGAATTATGGAAATTAATTTCATAAAGGAGCATTGCTACAAGATGCTTTTTATTAGCAAAACCCCAATAAGATCACAACCTCGTTATTGTGGATAGACTGTGGTATGACTCCAGTTGGGCCAGGTGTATTTTAATATTTAATATTGTAGGTTGTAGCATACTACCAACTATGCTGGTGGGATGTTACATCCCCTGTTGGTAGTACAGTATGCTACATTCCTGTACTTGAGGCCAGATGGCAACAGCATTAGTTGTCATTATGCGCAATATGTTTGGTGCTACATTGTCTGTTGGCAGTATGTTAAGCTCCATGGAAAAGTGGCAGAGGGCAGTAGCTCTAAGGTGGCATATTCCATAACCCTAGTCAATATGACATACCGGTAACCTACACTTTTAAGTTATGTGCTTCACATTTGTATTGTACAGTATTATGCTACACATTATTCTGGTAGTAGGCTACACAGTGTTTTAATAGTATGCTTTACACATTTGGTAGTATGCACTACACATTCCTCTGGTAGTATGCTACACACTTGGTAGTATATCACACACTCTACCACCAATTTCAAGTGTATGTATTTGGTGGTAATAAGTTACACATTCTTCTGGTAGTATGCTACATTCTCATCCGGTAGTATGCTATGCATACTTTTGATAGTTCAGCAATGGTAGCCTCAGTGTTGTTGAAAATTTGCTACCAATATACTATGTAACCAGCCTATGTAATGTATTTAGTTTTTACCTGATAGTTTTAGATGTAAGAAGTTTATATTCAAATAGTTACTGTATTTTTATACATATTCCTTCCATTGTATAATATCAAAGTTTCTGTTTCCATAAAAAAAATTCAGTTCATTCATATTTTAAAATTTAATTATGGTTTTACTGTTTTAGAACAAATTTACATGTTTTTAATGTATTTTAAATATTAGTGGTTGAAATTTTATTAATATGTGCCACAAAATTTGTCGCACTGCATTCATTGTACTCCAAAATATTAGATTGGATCACGTATTTAAATAGTAATTAGAATAATAATAGTGATTGAACCTTTGTATTACAGTGTATTCAGAAGCAATTATTCCGGCTGATGTATCATTTCTGATATTAGCTATTTAACAGTACAGTATATCTTCAACTGCAGTTTTTTGATGAGTAAGCAAAAAACATATTTTGTTAACTTGTTTTTAATATTGTACCATATTTATCAAATAAAAATTCACCTCATGTTATTCCAGGATTTCCAGTGATTTTTGTCAGCATCAGATTTCAATTATTTTGTAGTGATTAAAGTTCACACTATACGATCCCAATACCATACGGCATATCATAACCTTTATATAAGCATAGGTAGTTCCTCCCTTTGGCAGTGTCTAGAAAACTCAGATGTATGAAACTCGGATCTCAGTTCTCGAAAACTTAAATTTTGATAATTGGACTGTGCTATTATATTTAGAGGGGAATTTTAACTAAAACGAGTTCATTAAAAATAGATTTACTCGTACTTACATTGCAGATCTGAGTATTTTAGATTTAAATCTAAACATATAGTGCTGATTACACTGTTTGGAATGGTAAAAAATAATGAAGATAAAAATAACATTAAATTTATTATTATTAATTAATAAATAAAATGATTGTAATAATAATGAAAGCTGAGTAATAAAACCCAAAATCGAAAACCCAGATCTGATCTGAACTAAATATGTATTTAA